ACGATAATATCTTGGAGTCCTAAATCTTTCCATGTTTATTATTCATGAACTAAAGTGAGCAAGGCAAGCTTAATATCATCTACCCCTGCGAGACAAAAATAGCATTGAGCGCTCACCTTGACATGACGGTTAAATAGAATTGATCTACACGTTAGCGTGGTGCACATAGCTTTCCACATTATTATTTTCGGTATTTTTATGTCCCAAAGCTTTGACTAGACTGGGTTGATGACATAGTTCTCTGTGTCCATGCTCCTTCACAACTTCTTCCTATGGTGATGCTCCCACTCAGCATAATATGCCAACTGTATAGAAAAGGTCCCCATCTTTGTAAACTTCCATGCCATAAAATTCTCAAAGTGTCCATAACTATGATATGGAGAATAGTTTGTGCATCGATTAGCGAAAGAATATCATGGATCAACTTCATCCCACCGCTCGGACTGTGGGTTAATGAGATCATTGACATGTGTCAAAACAACATGAAGGGCCATTGGGATTCCATATGGATTCTCCCAAATTTAACCTTTGAACCATCACCTATTTGTCAAATGCAATCTCTCATAAAAGTTTGAAAACAATCTGACGGTTCCGCTCCAACATGGGTAGGTAGCCCCAAATGTGCATCGGATAGAGATTTTGTGAAAATGTCCAAAGTAATGCAAGTTTTCTCCCTCGTCTCCACTGTCGTATCCAGGCTAGAGAAAATACATGAGTTTTGCACACTTACAAGCTACCGGTGTATTGTAATATTTGGCAGGATTTAAGGTTGTTGGGGGAATTGCATGTCGCTCTGCAGATATATATATCCATCATAAAGGATACTGAGGATATTACCAAGACTTCTTCAGTTGTTTTGGGGGTGGGTCAGAGTGAGTATGTTGATCCCGGAGGTGGTTCACAAATAGGTGGCAAGGTGTGTCTGCGTGCGTGTGTGCGAGTTTGATCAAGAAAATGCATATCCTCGTCAACGAGAACGGTTAAAGGCGAGGCCAGTAAACAATGATTTGCTTGTCGACCAAAAAGACAACATACTAAATCCGCTAGTTCATGAGGGGAATGGTGGAATCCAATGTTAATCCAGAGAGCTCATCTCTTCAGGAATATGCTTCAACACACGATCTCAGTTGAAATCATTCATAGGTCACAAGTCAAAACATCTTGATGTCTATAGAACATAACCCTCGATATTGGCAGTTTTTTAATATGTACAAATACAAAATATTTTTAAAAGATGCTTAGAAAAGTGTCCAAAAGAAAGCTGGAGAGGAAGTAGTGTTGGAGGGGAAAACGTTGGTTTATCTTCTTGCAAGGAGAGGGTGGTTAAGGAGTCACAATGAGTGCCAAGGAGAAAAGTAGCGGGGGAGAGAATCATCGCTACTAGCTAATTGCCCATGCGTTGTAACGGGGACATACATATTCTAGTGATCATATCCCTCAAAGAAATATTCTAGTGATCCTCCCGTCCAACACTCGGTGATACTTTTCATAATTAGCGCGATCCTCCTGTTCAAAGAATGATACTCTACATAAGTAACTCGACGATCCACCCATCCAAAGAGTGATACTCTCCATAATTAACGTGTTCCTCCCGTCCAACCCTCAATCATATTTTCCATAATTAATGTGATCCGTCCAAATAATTATCGTCTACATAAGTAATGTGATCCTCACGTCCAACGCTCGATGACACTTTTCATAATTAACTGATCCTCCCGTCCAACGCTCGATGATACTTTTCATAATTAACGTGATCCTCCCGTCCAACGCTCGATGATACTTTTCATAATTAACGTGATCCTCCTGTCCAAAGGATGATATTCTCCATAAGTAACGTGATCCACCCGCCCAAGGAGTGATACTCTCCATAATTAATGTGATCCTCCCGCTCGATCATACTTTTCATAATTAATGTGATCCGTCCAAAGAATGATCCTCTCCATAACTAATGTGATCCTCCCATCCACAGAATGATACTCTCCATAATTAACACGACCACCCCCGTCTAACGACCACCCCCGTCTAACGCTCGATGATACTTTCCATAATTAACATGATCTACCCGTTCAAAGAATGATACTCTCCATATCCTCGAGTCCAAAGAATGATACTCTTCATAACTAAAATAAAACCAACAAATGTATGAAACCAAACCAAAGCACGACATACCATCACAGCCGCAGCCTCCCCTTCAGTAGTAGAGAGGATGGCACACATTTATGATTCGGTACAATAATTTAATCATTGTGTTTATCGTTATTTCATGGCAATGCACCGCACGTTCATTCAGCTAGTATATGTAAATGATGGATTACCTGGTTCAGTGGCACGCTAGCTGTCACTCCCACCATACCAATCAGGAAAAGGAACAACATCCATCGTCCAGTCGGTATATGGTCAACAATATCTCTTGGATCTGGATTTTCTCCCAGTGATTTGGCTACACCAGAAGTCATTCCAACTATATAATTTGCAAAGCCACCTGCAGAAAAGAGGTAAAGTCAAAATAAATTTGACAGTGGGATTGCCAATCATGACCGCTAGGTTGAAGTGTCTTGGGACAGAGTACTAAAGTTTTTGTTCCTCTGATATGTATGTATCTGATGGATGAGCTCACTCATACAGTGCACCGAAATTCCTAACTTCGCATTTCACTTATCGTTGAAGGGGCAGAGTATATGCATGCATTTTGTTTACACACAAAAAAGATGCAGCTTTTCCTTGTAAGAGTTAATACCAAGGTGTATATGATCCTTACCGCATATTGATGTGTTAAGGCAGGTGGTGACGGTGGTGAGGATCAGGACGTTCTCCTGGCGCGAGAAGGGCAACGTGGTGAACCCCGCGGCCGCTGGAGGTTGATGAGCCACTTGAGGAAGAAGAAGCTGAGGACGTTGATGGGCAGGTTGAGCGCCTGTATGATGCCGGCCTTCATCATGATGCGCAGGCCGACGAAGCCGAACATGGTGCCGAGGACCACCGAGATGGCCATGGACCGCAGCGTCACCTGGCCCCATGTCCCCGGCACCGGCGGCTGGCTCTCGAAGACCCGCTCCACCGACGACGTCACGCTCACATCTCCGATCGTCGCGTCCATGGGCGAGGGGCCGGAGCTCTGGCGAGTTCGGTTGGGGGCTCTGGGTGTGGACGGAGGAGTGGTGGTGTGATGTTGGTTAGTTTCTCATTTCTCAACGAGTGGCGCATGCAGGTGGAAGTGGTGAAAGGTGGAGAGGGAGTGTAGCGAGGGAGGAGCAAAAAATAGGTGAGAGCAGATATCTGTTGTGACTTGTGACGTAGTAGTGCTCGTCTTGTGGTTGTGAGCGTACGAGGGAGCAGTTCACGCCGTCTGATCGATCCAAATTAGCTTCAGTCCTGTTTTTTTTTTTGAGAAAGAATGTGTTCAGATATTAAAATTGCACTTGCACAGTTTTTTTTTTAACACTGCACTTGCACAGTTGGTTGGACTGGGAATCAGAACTGGAAGTGAACAATGCTTGGAAGACAAATGTAATGCTATAATTACACTAATAATTTGTAGTAGTTTCTACCTATAATAATCTTTCAGGAGTTGGTGCTTGTTTGTCTCCATCCTCCCAATTTTGGTCAAACAATCTGGTGCGCAAAGCAGGATGTGACCTTTTTGGTCAGATCGAAATGATTAAAATGCTACACAACTTCTTGTCAGAGTTTCTAAAGCATAAAGCTCGACGGAGCAACTATGATCTTAAGAACAACAGATAAATATGTAGTTCTAGATTCAATGCCTTCATCACTATAAATTAATCAAAACACCAGTCTGATAAATAAAAATATGTACTCCGAGTGTCCACCTAAAATTCACACGCTTTGCGAAATAACTAGAAGAAAAAGGAATATACAACAATGGCACTCCGGTACACAAGTATCCTGTACAGACCTGAGCTTCCCAAAGAGTACAGCTTATTACCACCTGATCAACTGTAGTAAGTAACCCAAACATTGTAGCTAAAGGGTGGGCATGCACCGATTTGAGCATGAGATTCAGAAACCACAACTGTGCAAACATCTCCCTGTCGGAGGCAGCTGAAACCATCAGGTTGTGTTTTTACTCGACACATCACCAAAAAAATGAGCTTGCTTTCTCTCTCAGACAAAATGGAAACCCCTTGTCGCAATGCCCTACTTGTCTCAAGTTACGAAGCTTTTATCTGTTCATACTTTTCTCCTATGCTTCCACCTTTCTGCTTCTGGAATTCGATGTATCGTAGAGTGCTTGCAAAGAAAGCTTCGGCAGATGGATCAGAAGCACTGCTGTCATTTTGCTTCTCTGTCCTGATCAGTTCGATCAAATCTTGGATGACAGTGTTCGTGATTTGTGGAATTCCTTTCTCAAAGAAGTACAGATACCTGAAGATAATACAAGTATGAGAACTACAATTGCAGCAATTAATCATATAAGCACCAGAAAAGATATCAGGTATAAAGCGTTTACTTGTTCAAAATTTCAATGAATAGAATGACAGATCCGCTGCTTCCCTTTGATACATTGGCCATTTGTTGAGCAGCATTTGCAATTCTCAAGGCACGCTTTAAGCAAAGGAGGACCCTGTAACAAAATTTTGATCAAGCAAAAGAGGTACTTCAGATATGATTCGACAGCAGGCCCAAAGTTACTGCCTAAACTTGACTATAGCTGGCGCAAAAGGATTAGAGACATAGTAGCCCAAGAGATATCATGCAATTAGGACCGACCACAAATTTGTGATGGACAATTTTCTTTCATTGTCTCAGGAAGCAATGTCTTGCCACTTTTTTGCAAAATGAACAAAAATTAAAATGAGTATCTCAATAGGTTCACCTTTCACCATCCATGATTCCATCTTGGTCATCAGTCCAGAAAAGGTGTGAACATGCATAGACTGCCCGGCATTGATCAGGCTTCTTTAGAAGTTTTGCTGAGTACTGCACAAAACAGAAATGATGTCATTTAAAATGTGTACTAGGAGCAACAGCTTTGGGCCACAACAGATTCCAGGAATGCAACAACAAAGCAAGGAACTATTACCCCTGTTGTCTTATGAGTGAGGGTGTCTCTATTTTCCACCCCAAATATATTCATCCGCTGAAGGGTTCCAATTATTAGGTGAAGTGCAGTAATTTGAGCCTTAGAATCCTGCTTGTGCCACATAGTCGTTAAGGCAAAAATATAATAACAGAAGTATAAAAGCACTTCAATGTCTTAATAAAAGCATGGCACATGACATTTATGATATGGTCCAGATCAGGCATAGAGGAAGGGGGGTCAGGTGGGGTTTCATACCGCTATTTCTTCTTCATATAAGATGAATGCTTGAGTAAAGAACTCATAAGCAACCGGTTCCAAATCACAATCATTGGCAGCCTGAATAAGAAATGATGTCACACAATAGGAAGAAGTGTAAAAAGAATCAATCAGTTCTTCCAACAATACCTCTGCGCATTGTAGATATAATCTGAGAGACAATTCTGGACAAGGAATACATTGGAGTGCTTCAATAGTCTGAAAAATGAAAAATGATGAGAACATTGAAGAGTTAATAATGGAAAATTCTGGACAAGTTAAAATGTATGAGAACAAAAACCTGATGCAAGATCTGAAATATCTTCTTAGGAGTTGCTGGAACTTCCTCCCCAGTGACATCTCCATCTTGACCTTGTAATCGTCTGACCAACTGCAGGCAAGAAAAAACATCCAGTGTAACTCAACTGTTAGAATTGGTAAGCCAAAACAAAGCAAAGCACCTACCCCAGTATTATCATGCCTACAAAGCAGCATGTGCAACTATACAGTTCATGTTTTTTGACAACATTGTGTACAAATACATCAAGAAATATGTAAGCTTCTTATTTCAGGATACTGTTCACTATAACTGAAACAATTAAACATACCTTGAGAGCGGAGAATACTAACGACGGCACAGTGAAAGGTAGACGCTTGGGACCTCCCTGAAGTATATGCTTCTGAACAGTACATAAGATCTGAAAGATTGACAAGCATTTCCTATCAGCATTTTCAAAATGGGAAAATGACAAGACAAGTACCCAGATTAAATGCTGCCAAGTAACCAAAACTCAAGAGCAGGTGCTTGGTTTGTCAATCTAGCATGGAAAAAGATAATTGGCCCTAGTTCCATTCATAATCAGATACTACCAGGGCATGGTTCATTACCTATTGTGGGCTCTACAAATAAGATTTAACAAAATGACGGTTCAGAGTAAGCAAGTCGGTATGAGAATAATGTCTATAGGTGCTAACTTAGAACATCAATTTCCTATAAGCTGAAGTTCAATTGCTTATTATGTAACCTTATTAGGAGGGCAAAACACTAGCTCAGAACTTCACTTGCCCATAGCTAGTGTAAAATGGACATATAACACAGACGTATAATGGAGGCTGTAACAAGAACTGAAGTAAAGGAGGAGGAAAATGTAACAGAGACTAAAAAAAGTTAGCAAGCTCTCAGCAAATTCAGTGTATCAACACATGTACCTTCAACATCTCATCGTGATCATCATTGTGCAACATGTGAATAAGGCGTGCTACAGAATTCTGCTCCTCCTTAAAATCCTCTTCATCAAGCTAATGCAACAAAAATTAACATGTTAACAGTGTGGGTAAGCTTGATGAGGAACTAGAATATTCCGTGACTGATCAAACAGCAGCATAAAGAAGAATACAAACAAGTTGAAGAGAGTTGAAAAATGAAGTGTATGATCTTACCTCATCATCTTGAGCCCCATCCATATCTTTTATAAGGCCCTTAATTAAATCAAAAAGAGCCTCGATCTGCAAGAAATAGCGACAGAATCTCATGGTGTGACTTAAATAGTAGTAACAGATACAGAAACAGTGTGATGTGAAATATTACCTTGTCGGAAGTAGATATGCAGGTTGTGTTCTTCATTATGCTTTGAATTATTACCAGAGCCATCACTTTTGTTGTAGCATTATCCAGATAATCCATTACCCGGGGATAATTTGAAAGCTCCAATGCAGTAACAATATTACTATATTTCTCCAGGGGAGCACTAAGAAGTGCAACAATTTGCTTCGTTGCTCTGCTATCTTCAAGTTTTTCCTTGCCAGAAAGTTTCTTCACGCATGCACCCTGTACAATATTAGACATAACGTGAGCTAGAACATACATCTACATCAACTATCGAACTAAAAGGGTAATAGCATATCTCTTTGTCAAAGTAAAACTTACCAGCACTTGGTCAACATAATCAAGCCGATCTGGATGCACACGGAGAGTAAATGTGAGGAGTGATACATACAAAGTTACTGCTCCAACAACCGGCATGTCAACTTGAGCTTCTATCACCTGTCAACAAACCAGGTGTCAGTTGTTTCAGTTTTACCTGTACAATAGCACCAAACAGCTATGTAACTAGAAAAAGGAATAAATAAAAGGTGCATGTATTTCTATGGTTATTCCCATGCACATTGGTACACTTATGTACATAGTAACCATGGAAACTGTCGTTTAGATCAAATGCATATTCATGGTATCGCC